GATTCAGGACATTTGAGTACAGGTCACCTGCACTTCCAGCCACACCACCCGAAGTTAGTTGCCTGCAACATCGTGTAAATACTATCAGCGGTGATGACACAAACGGGAAGAGAGAAATAAGCCACCTGAGCAAGACGCTTCGTAGGAACGAGCAGGTAAAAGGCTTCATGCACAAGAAGCTTAAAGAGCATGCTGAACAATGCGAGGAGCTAGATGAAAAACTAAAGGCAACGGCATCTGTCCTAAAACAACGGCTGTCAGATAATGTAATAGGAATTCACGGACGATGCAACTTGAGAACAATCTTCAGGAGCAGTTCCACGTTCCCGGGAACACTCTTACCATCTTACCATGCCAACAAACAAGCCAAAAAAGTCGGAAAGGTCGGACCACTGATACGTAAGGAGCATATCAAAAATTGCACATACCACAAACCATGCAGCTCAGGCTGGTCCTAGAGATGGGAAACAAGACTCACTTATGCCGGTCATCATGAAAGCACAAAAAGGCAAGTGTCCAGGTGAGACTCTAAAGTCTGGTGTGGCAGGACAGGCTTGGTGAGAAAGTAATCATCCACCAGCGTGGGATGAAATAACCATCACTGGCAGGCGGAAACACTGAGAAGTGCGGGAGATCAAGAAGACAGCACACATGACATTGGTATCCGGCAAAATTGCCTTTACCGGTTAGCTCAGTGGTAGAGAAGCGTATTCGTAATCAGAATACACCGCTTCGAATGTCATCCAGGCCAAGACAGAAATTAGGGCTGTCACCCGTACATGGCTATAAAGCAAACACCATCCAGTCCTCCTCAGAACCCAACAACACATGGCGACGGCCGGAGAATTAAGGCCGAAACGCGGTGTATATATTTCTTTTGAAATGTTTTTGGTGCTCCACCGAAAATTGTATTGATGCGTGCACACAATCACAGTTGGGTACACACGCGCAGCAACCCCACGATAAAGGTTCCAGACGTCGTATCCTCACGGCCAGTCTCCACCACCCGCTTGCTCTGTGTCCCCAGGTGGCACTTGTGCACACGCAGGAGCTATCTCGATTCCTCGGTCCCGGTGGATCAGGGGACCGCTCCCGTGACATGAGGCGAGGCCGTGCCCTCGGGAAATGCGACAGGCCCGAAGGGTTTATTCCTGTGAACCCATCGCCGCGGACGCTGGCTGGTACAACGTTAATCCCGCGGCAGAGCTATCACTTTTCAGTCGCTCCCATACTGCGTCCGTACTTCATGCCAACACACCAGACAAGGATGATAGCCGGAATAATGATTCCATCCTTCACACGAATATCTGGTCTCAAGTTCCGTAAAACTTTATGCTACGTTAGGTTACGTCACGTTACGTCCCGGTTCTGATCTAGGCTGGTCTCGTAGGGTGTATTTACATGCACGCGGCACTGGGGCTCGACGACTTGTAGGAAATCGGCCCACAGTATGGACTTGTGGCGTATTGGTCCACATGACAAAATCGAAGTGAGTCGGGTTGAAGACCACTTCGCTATAGAGTAGACGTGAACGTGGCCGCTATATGCAACGTCGTCGGCCATAAATGCCTGCCGGTGATGTACGGTAGACGTAGCTCAGCAGTCAGCCTTCCCAATAAGCTGTAATTCATATGCCTGTCGATGTTCATTGTTCTGCCCAACTCAACGTTTGCCAAATTTTCGGTATAATATCCCTCATTGATCCTTCTGAAGGAAATCTAGGATCATGAGTTTGTACCAATTATCGTAAATCCCCATCATCAACGCATCTCTCTTGCGATCGGTCGGTCATAATGACAGTTGTGACCTTGCCAAGGCTATCTTGTCTGCAGTAACTGTTTTTTTCCGGGCCCTCCGATAGTAATCCCACGTTCATTGCGTAGAAGGTCCTTTGATATACATGATCTCGCGGAAAACCTGAAATCAATCCAACACAATTATGTCAGCTGAGGTATTGCTAATAACGATCTTGATGACCTTTGATATGCCTTAACGACAGAGTACGCTTACGTCATACTCAGAGATACCAGCCGGCCGAGATGTGGACTGCTGGAAACCCTGCGAATTTAGGCACAGTCGATTTTCTGTCAGTATCGCTCCTTCCCGAAAACTCTGCCGATGCAAAGGTTTCCATTTATATGCGTCTACCTGTAGAGCCGTGTCTCCGCATCTGCCTAACTAGACCGTTTGCCGCAGGAGTTTGGGAAGGTCACGGGCAGGCTGGTGTTAGACTTCAATTGTTTGTGACGGCTCTTTACCGGCTTCACAGATTTTTGAATTCGATCCAGCTCATGACTCATAGCCGTTCAAATTATTTTGATTCAGCTCAGTTCAGCCTCATTACTTGCATTGAACTATTTGACTCATGCAGCTTGCGAAATCATAGATCCAATTCAGACTGTTTCGTTGACTTATATTTATATATATATATATATATATATATATATATATACGTGTGTGTGTGTATGTGTACATGTATATATATATATATACATATATATATATATATGTGTAAATCTATGTATAATAATATATAAACATACATAGATGGCTAGACATACACACAGGTATATGCGATTAGCCCATTAACATTTTTGTGGTTTCGGCCTAGCAGATGTAGTGCAACACCTTTCCTGCAGCCTGTTACCAACTAGCTCTCTCAAGTCTCAGTTCTGGGCTAGAACATTCTACCTGGCACCTACCACCCAGGCCCATTACTTATATAGCATGCAATGTAGACCAGACCACACTTGTGATGTGCACCACCTTACCCGCATTCCAAGACTACTGAATTTGGAGGCCAAATTCTCACTTGCAAGTTGCGTGTTGCGTAGAAATAGTCATTCATGCAAGGCCTGTTAGGTCGCATGGAATGTGCCATGGGCATATGAGACGAGATGACTTTTCCACTATTGTTTATTTCACGTAACCTCATCAAAAGCATGCTTTCAGCGGTTCAAGTATTAGTGAGTGAGGGTTCAGGTATAATTAGTTCATCGTGACAATTGACAATGACAAATATTACCCTTGCCACCCTTAAATTTTATAACAGACAAACTTGCACGGATTTTAGCATAGGCCTAGTTCAGTTATCATGTATGTAAAACAGGTACGTTGAGCCCATGGACCTGCCCGCATGAGTTTTGGCAAACTAGTTTAGGATCAACAATATTGTGTTTGCCTCCTAGAAATTACGATAGAACACCGCGCTGGTTTCACAAAAGCCTTGTAACAAATGCTGCATGCTGTTCATTTGAACACTCTGAAATGGATGGTTGATTTGTCTGGGACGTGCTATGTTTTCTCACGCTAACATTTTTATTTGAGCCATATGACTGACTGATAAAATACTGCTGATCATTTCTAACAATGCATTGACACGTTGTTGGAAACAATCAGCTTCGATTCAGCTCATGACATTTGCGAAGAATGATATTCAGCTAATGACTCAAAGCAGTATTTTACCTGGTGAGCCGACTCAACTCACGACTCACCCGAAACGACTCATGAGCCGATTCATGATTCAGCTCGAGTTAAATACAAGTCTGGTCATTGGGCCTTCGGTTTGGAACATAATTCTCAAGACGCTCCGAAATGATGGGTGTATTCCCAGCTGCCCGCATGAGAAAGAATATATGCTGTCGACGTCATTGATGGCGTCATAACTCATAGATTTTAAACCATTCGGTGTTCGCAATGACCTGGACGACAGATTTATGTGACTTCACATGAAATAAAGCATTCTTGGTGCGTTGCGAATACGCTCGTTGTAGACTGCTGGAACACTTTCTTGAATTGTGGCCACATATCGCGCTCACATTATTTGCGCCGGCAATGATAAGTGCAAATGGTATGTTTGGCTTCTTGCGTAGCATAAACGTACAGTGAGACGAATTTCGCAATTTCGTTATTTTTAATGGTTAATTCAGTCATTTCAAATTTGCATACCTGGCGTATTTTCTTCGCGCTTGGGCTTGTAGGTGTAAGTCAATAAATCTCATAGACATGTTTCGTTCGAAATAAAGGTCATAAAATAGACCCAAAAACAGACAAACAAGACGAATGATTTATTCAGCGATTAGGCATTTATGCTTTAAGTGCGTGGACATTGTGCCCATTGCTTCAAGGCCTCGGAATGCGTACATAAGGCATGATAAGAAACGGTTAGCTCTGTTTCTAAAACGTATAACAAGACATATAATATGGTGCAAAACAGTATGAAATGCGCTATACGTGCATGTGATGCCAGCAAATTGGAATGATCCGCTATATCCTGCACGTGTAGTTGTATGCGAACGTCTCAACTCTGCAATTTTGTGATAAAGACAGTAGATGTATTGACGAGAGTGGAGTTGTGCTAAAAAAAAAACACCATAAGCATCACTAAAAATAGTTGTAAAAGGACTGTTGGATGATACATATGGATACTTCTATCTTTCCACACCAGCAGCAATTCATTCATGTACGGGAACACTACATTACATCTGCCGCTAGGTATCTTACTCCACCCCGTTCTATCATGAGGACCGTATCACAAGGAGCCGCCGGAGCAGCTGAGGACAGCAGCAGCAGCAGCAGCGCGCTCAGAGCGGCGTCTCAGGCGGACCAGTCCAGCCAGCGGTGCTACCGGACCGGAGCACCGGCTTGACAACCGAGCTACCTCCGGGGCAGCAGCCCCAGGACGCCTCCTGCCGTCCCGGAGTCACGTCCGGCCGCCGCGCCTCTTGCTGAGCTCGTGGGTCGCCGCCTCTCCCGCTGAAGTGACCGACGTCGGGCGGACGTTAGGTGGACGTTAGGCGAGTGTAAGGCGAATGGAAGTGGACGTCAGGTGGACGTCAGGCTGACGTCTGGCGGACGTCCGGTTGATGTCCGGCAGACGCCAGGCGAGTGTGAGGCGGACGTCAGTCGGACGGCAGGCTGACGTCAGGCGGATGTCTGGCAGATGTCCGGCGGACGTCAGGCGAGAGTCAGGCGGACGTCGGGCGGACGCCAGCCTGACGTCAGTCCTGCAGCATCATCACGGTGCGTGTGTACCGCTCGCCGAGGGCCGCCGCCGTGTTGATGCGCTCGACGGTGCGGTTGTAGAGGGCGTTGCCGGCGCCCAGCCAGCCCTGGCCTCCCTCTAGCGCCCGGCCCAGCAGCGAGCGGCCCGGGCCACTCTCGTCGGCCGCTGCCAGCTGCCGCTCCGGCTCGTCTGGCAACACTGCAACATGGCACCACCGTCAGACGGCTGCCGCTCCGGCTCGTCTGGCAACACTGCAACATGGCATCACCGTCAGACAGCCGCCGCTCCGGCTCGTCTGGCAACACTGCAACATGGCACCACCGTCAGACAGCTGCCGCTCCGGCTCGTCTGGCAACACTGCAACATGCCATCACCGTCAGACAGCTGCCGCTCCGACTCGTTTGGCAACACTACAACATGGCACCACCGTCAGACGGCCGCCATTTCGCTCTGACTGGCAACACTGTCATTCGGCGTCACACACACGACCCGAACGGGTGGGGCGTCTGGTTGTGCTGTTATATGCGCTCTCGGCTCGACCGTTGTTTTACTATGCATTTGTACTGAACTTAGACGCTGTACTGGCCTTTACACGCTGATGATCCAGACAGACGATATAGTCAGCGTAATATTCCATGACACCGCCGACGAATGCCACAAGCGATCGACAAAATAAAAGGTTACAGCTACACGAGTACCGGGGTCACATCTAGCTCACCTCCAATGAAATCTCTGATGAGGTTGTTAACCTGCGCGGGCTGCTCCACCTGCACATGCCGCCCGGCGTCTGTCACCATCTGTATGCGGCAGTCGACCAGGTGCGGCAGGCAGCGGTACATGGCGTCCACGGGCAACGAGCGGTCGCGGCCGCCCGACACCAGCAGGGTCGGCACGGCCAGCCGGTCCGGCGGACTCGCCCAGTTGCAGGCCGCGAACAGCTGACGCTGGTGGCTCAGCGGCCCCCGCCAGTCCTCTGTTGGTTGGGGGGGGGGGGGGGTCGGTGACCCCGCTGCTCACGGGGAGGGGAGGGACGAGGTGACGCGGTCGAGAGGCCTGAACGGGATGTCCGGTGGTGATTTATCCTTTACGGACAACGATGTGCTGGTGGAGTGGTCGAATGAAGATCGAATGATAAGCAGTTGTTAGGTTATTAGTCGACGTTTGATCCGAAGTCACCCTGTAATCGTGCTGAAAAACAGTTACCTTGTGGATGTCGTTAGATTCGATCTTCCATGTCGTTTGAACATTGTAATAAGTGAACAGCGCCCGAACAACAAACAGCAAGCCGGTGCGATCGTTCATCCATCAGGCCCCTCATGCGTGTCTCGGGCCTTCAGGACCGACCTGTTCGGGAGAAGGCGAACAGGTACGCCTGCATGTCTTCCGGCGAGATCCGACCCCGCCTCTGCGCGTCTCCATACTCGGCGCAGAGGATGTCCAGGTCACCACCGGCGATCAGGTACTCGGGCAGCCAGGGCAGCTGGTACAGGTAACACCGCCTGCACCGGGCGCACCGGAGTCACGCAGGCACGTGGCTGGCTTGGTGTGGGGATGGCCTCGTACCGGAGTCACGCAGGCACGTGGCTGGCTTGGTGTGAGGATGGTCTCGTACCGGAGTCACGCAGGCACGTGGCTGGCTTGGTGTGGGGATGGTCTTGGGAGGCGGCCGCCAAGAATGGGCGCGTGTCACAACGAGCTTGGGCTGATTATCCAGATTTAATATATTTCTTGAAGCGCTCACTCCTTTCACGAGAATAAAAATGAAACATTTTACAGATATATCGTGCCATCATACTCATATATGAAAACATCGTGACTCTGAAGAGCAAGGGCAACGACAAGCAGGGCCGCATTGCTGCAGCCGTTAGTAAACCACGTGGCGCAACTTTCCACGCACTGGGCCCGAGTACCACTGTTACATACCCTGAGTACCAATGATACATGCCATTGTTTGAGCTTGTGATGAACCGATTTATCCAGAATATCTAGCATGATGTTCGGCAGGGGCTGTGATATTGATACGAAGTGGCTGAACGTCTGCGGTGATCTCTGTAGTAGATGCCAGCCGATGAGGGCGCCATAGTCGCTCCCCACTAAAACGCACTGATCTCGACCTGCGAGCATTCGGAATGGTTCAAACAAGTAGACACCCTCTGCGACACGGGACGAATGAGGCCGTGACAGAGGTGACAGGCTTTAGTTGTTATCGCGTAGGTGCTGCCCAAAACAATGCCGAGGGATTCACAAATCTTTAACAATGCGCTATGGATTTGATCAACGTGATATTTACCTAAAATGATATGTTAAAGCAAATGTCTCACATTTTAAGGTATTAAAGGAAGCATGGGATGTGAAGAATTAAATTCATTTGCACCTACGGCATGGTTTTAAATGCAAGACTGCTCTAGACAACACAATTTCACCATTTATAAAATACGATCCTTAATACGTTGTCGTTCGATTGCGTTATAGGACGTTTGTATGATGTAGGAGCCGCTGCCAGACTGGCGGTGCGAAACTGTCATCGTAGTGCACGGGCTGATTTGTAGGGCTTGTCGAGAGGTGGCGGATAAATCGGTGCCTGTTTGTAAAACCCAAATATTGTTGTGTGCGCGTGTTGTGGCCCTTACTCGCGGTCTTCTTGCACATTCGTCCCTAATATCGTATGTTTTACTTGCATTCACATAGTCTGCTATAGCACTGTACTTAACTATTCGATTATCAGCCCCATTGACGTCGTTACTAGTTCCGGTGCCCAAGTCCTGCATTATGTAACACATCACGTGATTAGTGCTCGAAACCACTGCTGAGAGCATTACATCGGTTCAGGACCAACTGAAGTCTGTTGACGCCAGAAATCGTGCTGACGCACGCCGGACACGAATAACCCGACGACTATCTTTTTAGTGACCTTGGGCACTTAATGGTCAAAGCGGTGGCGACAGTCGCGGGGCGGCATCATGACCAAAACTATCATGTCATGACCAATGCCCAAAAATGGCACCATGCATGTCTAGGTGACCTTGAAATAGTCTGCACGAAATATCTGCAAAAGTTCGCGGGTGTCATGCTCAGAAACAAGGGGTTTTTATGTCTTTAAAATGGCATGGTTGTGAAGTGCACTGAACGCCCTTCAAAATGGCTACCTGCATATTTGTACGTATCATGTACTTTCGTTTTCCTAAAATAAACATGAGCAGGAAGTGTTGAAGTGATTTAAGGTGTTGAGACTGTTCAAAAGTTTTCATTGCTCATTTCCAAGTTCATTGTATCTAGAACGTGGCGAAAGGTTCGCTCATAAAGTTCCCTTTCAGCCAAAAGGCTGGTCTTTTAGGCTGAAACAACAGAATATCACGTTGATCACGCAGCTGTTACTATCCTACCCCGCCCGCGCGACACCAGGCACAAGGTCTCACAGGCACAAAGGTCCAGACGATTATTGCGTCACAAAATGTCGAGACGAAATGCCAGTGTGGACGTGGCCGGACGACGTGATAAACACATGTTGTTTATAACAGTGGCGCATGATACGGCATAACGTTTCGTACGCCCATGCCCGCATCAAAGCCTGGCAGGCGCCAAACTGGCAGCATCGGTGGCGCGGCGTCACAGCAACAGGACGTACAGCCGGCTGCGAGGAGCTGTCCGGTGCCTCACCTAGCAAGGAGATAAACTCCTGAACGAGCGACACCAGAGCGTCGACGGTGTAGGCGTCGGCGCGGACGGGGCCTTCCGAGTCCCCGTATCCGGGCAGGTCCAAGGCCACCACCCTGCCGACACGCGCGGCCCAACAGTGACCAGACGTTCGGGCCGGGCGCCGGACACAACAGGGCAGGAGCGGGGCCAGGCGGCGGACGGCTGCTCATTCAAGCCGACCTGGCACAACCTTGGACGGCGGCTGGAGCGTACGGCACCAGCGCAAAAAGATAAATTAGTATCATCTCCGATCTTTTAATAATGTAATAGAATATTGATGCCTCCATCCCATGCCTGTAGTGTGATGCTTTGACCGCGAATACCCGGCCATCCATAGCTTGCCCACAATGCGCACGCAAAACCAAGTACACTACAATTCAAAACAACCTTTTACGGAGCTTGAAACCAATTACCTCTTGTCAAATCTCATTTTAAGCTTCACGTCCAGGGCTATTTGATTTGATACTGAACGAGAGGATTTCTAGCCATTGGGCACTAAGTCATTGGATGCGGGTCGTCACTAACGTCAAGAAGAATGAAGAGGTGATGTCACAGACCATTGTGCATGGAAGCGTCGGTCTTTGGTCGGGTCATACAGGAGCCTCCTTAAAAACGGCTTCGGTGGCATTTGGGGAAATCCTTGAAAATTGGTCCCTTTTTACGCCCGGTGTCACACGGGCCCGTTCCACTGAGCAAACGTGGCCTGAGGCGTTGGGGATCATAGGAAAGCAGAGCGTCTGAAGAATGCCTTGCTGGAGACGGCCAGTCTATGTCGCGCTGCTCTCTTTGTATCAGTTACACTAAAGCGTAACATGTGGAGACCCCGAAAAATGGCGAGGAAGACATGAACAGACACGCATGCATTTGCGTAATGCTCCCTTGGAAGCCGCCAGCAGAATCGACTTCATGAGACGTTTTATCGGGATCTCCTCGAAATCGGGCCTATTAGTCGGGGAACCTGTCACCTGTGCCCGACGGTGTTTAGGTGAAACCCAGCAGATTGTCGTTTCAGTTTCAAAATTGGTGGCAATATCATACCGCTCGTAAACAGATCACCTTTAGCGCATTTCAACTTGACACGTGATGCTATCTGTGCCACGTGAAAACATGCTTCTTGTCGAACGGTACTTGCAGCGTCATAGACCGTGGTTTCCGAACGGCAGTCATGATTTCGTAAGTGGATAAGTGAGCCGGAAATGGGCCTTGCGTCAGTCACAGTGCTGCCCCGACCGCTGGACTTGAACGGCCGATGGGACGTACTTTGACCGCTAGGAGGTGCTCCAGACTAGACCTTGGCGAAGCGCGCGCGCGCACGCACGCACGCACGCACGCACGCACGCACGCGCGCGCGCACGCACGCACGCACGCACGCACGCACGCACGCACGCACGCACGCACGCACGCACACACACACACACACACACACACACACACACACACTATCGGAATAGACTGTAACCAGAGGGGAGAATGCCGAGAAAGTTTGAGCAGCGAGGCGGTCACAGACATCCTTAAAAAACCGCGCAACTAGGGTTACTTTGATTAAAGTTGTGGCGGCTGCCACACCTGCCATGACGCATTGCTTTATCCATGATTAGAAGGCGTCGATTGTCAGAGTCAGCTGTTATCAACGCTATTTGAGACGTCACCAAAACACCAGAGCGTGACGTGCCAGTGCCCTGGGCCTTCCTGCGATCTGGCGTCGAGTCAGATCTCACAGCTCCGCGATTCCAGATTAACTTTTACCGTCGGTTCAACAACACAAGATTGATGCAGCTGTACGCGTAATGCGTTTTAACACGCGCTCGGGTGGGGTGAAAATGATCCCTAAAAGATTTTGACTGAATGTTTTCCGAACGGCGCGGTGCAGCCACACGATATTTCGCATAGTTATAGACTATTGAATAGTGGATCGTTTGGCATCAAAAATTTAGATGTGCCTTGTAAGATCACTGAACTATGGCAGGTCAAAGTCAGGCCATGTTTTCGGCAAAGGCAATTTCTATGGAATCGTTCAATATGATCCAACAACGGTGTGTCAGACAAAGCCATACATCCCTGAGATACTTTCTAAGGCAACACAACAATTGATCGAACAAGTTTCATTGGCCTAGGGTCAGGTGTGAAGGTCATACCAGGGTCAAAACCAACCTGTTTTATTACTCTAGGGTTTGCGGTATGGGGTAGTTTCTGGTGCTCAATTCGAATTCATTTATGACATGGAGCGCATTATTCACCTTCCATGACTTCTTGAAGGTCAGAATAGGTCACTCACCTAAAATGACCTAGGTCTACATTTTGTTTTTAGAAACGTACTGCCTAGCGTAATTTTTGTTGCGTATTCAAATGTAAAACTCAAAGCAGTCTTGCATGATTTTGGTCACCATGATCTTCAAAAGGTCAAGCAAGGTCGCTGGCCTTAAATGAGCATGCGATCTTTTGCTTAGAACAGAAATATAGGTACTGGAGACCGTTTCAAGACCAACCTGGAATTTGGCCTTGTTTGACCTTATTTGACCCAAATGACATGAGCTAGGCACCTCAAACTTTGACCCAAGTGAGTTTACGTGCAGATCAATACACCCTGTGAATTTGGTGTCTCTAACTCTTTTGGTTCCTGAGATCTCAGGCGGGGATCAAATTGATCCCCCACCGGAGCGACGGGTATCCAGCCGGCCACCTGGGCGCGTGTTAACGGTCGTGATGCGTAGGTAATAAGTTGTAATGGTCTGCGCCTCCCTATCGCTTCTTATCTCGCCAGGGCAGCAGAGAAACTGTACCGATGTGGCCTTGGAGAAAGTATGGCGTTTAAATCTCGGCACTCTTTAATTGTAGCTCCGATAACAAAAGTCCTGTAAGTCCCCAACGACCAGGCGAAACCATGCGGCGTTCGACTGTGATGATATCAGACATGAGCCGAAGTCATCTTTTTGTATAGTCTCACCATTCTGTGCTGGAAAACTCCCTCATTTGCTGTTTCCACGAATACCAGAATTCCGGGAAACCATGTAGAAACAGGATCATGCGTCTTGTGCTTCTACCCGCAGTGACATAATGCAGTTTTATGTTCTGCAACAGACAGGTTCCATGGCAAATGAAATATCTGGAAAGGGCGCCTATCGTTCACAATACAGCGTAAATGCTTATCATATCTTATTTTATAACAAGGAAGGTCAGTGCGAGTATTCGACACCCAACGCACGAAAACAGAGGTCCCTAGGATTCTGGTCATCTGCATACAGCATGTCGAAACTTTTGATAGAATCCCAAGCCCTTTTTGCCAATCATCGAATCGATCGCACGCGATTCACATACAGAGTCGCGTAACAGCGGATCTTTCGAGGAGGAGGTGAGGAAACAAGCACGTGTTGATTTAATTTTTTGTCATGCAACACCTTAGGGCTGATCTTAATTGTTTGTGAAACTGGACGTCTGCGCCCTTCCTCGCGACTTCCACCGCCCTGAAGTGATCTGTCAGTAAACGGCTGATCGCAATTGACCTGGGCCTGCTACATCCTCATTATTAAATGAGAATTTTGATGTGCCGGTCAGTTTTTATTTTCACCAGCAGTTTTGATGTTATATTCTGGTTTCGAGATTTTGTTCACAGAATCCCGTGTTCTTTTTGTTTCTGTGCGGCACCCAGGACTTTCCTGGATGCTTCGTGCCAGGACTTTGTACATCTGAAGTCGTCCCCGAGATTAGGTAGTGATAAAGAACGTCTAGCAAGTAATCTCAGCCCACCTATCATTTCCCATTTTATAAATTTGCCAATTACACACACATTCACGGCCACTAGGCCTGGACTCGCCCGTTGCACACAAGTTGGCTGCGGCTGACCCTGGAGGCCTCAGTACTGACCCTGATCTTGGCCGTGCCGTGCTGAAGCCAGTCGCTCGCCGGCGGCGCCTTCATGGTTGGGCGGCGCCGGTCCGGCGGACTGCCGAGCGTCCTCCGCAGCGCCGCACGCGCGCCGCACACGCCGCCGACGAGCACGGCGCACGCCAGCACACCGGCGTAACGCAGCGCGTGACACAGCGCGTCACGGAGCCGCGCCAGCACGCCTGCCGAGCTGTAGAAGCGGCGCGGCATGCGGCCGCTCACCAGCATCGAGCACAGAGCCACCAGCGCGTTGGCCCACAGCGCGGCGGCCAGACTGATAGCGGCGGCGATGCACGAGAGAAGGCTGGCCATGTCGCGGCCGAGAGATAGCGCCGATGGGCGGGCGCCGGCGCCGGACAGAGCGCTTCACTGACGCGGCCCCCCGGCGTCCGCCTGGCCCGGCGGTGACCTTTGAATGCGGGGCAGGCCGGCCGGACGCCGCGACCACGCAGTGCGTAAAAAGCGCCCGACGGGTCAAGATGGAGCCTGGAGAATCATTCGCGCAGAGGCGCGAGGCCAGGCTTTGTTCTTTCCCCTTTTACCAACTTGTCGTGGAAGTTCCACATCAACTTTATGTGGACGAATGGGAAGAATTGGCTTGAACGTGGAGCTTGACCTCCTCCCCACTTTTCCTGACCTTTGCACGCCATTGCATAGGCTCACATCAGCCTCGGGAAGCGGAATGATTTGTCGCCTCGCCAGCGCTGCCACAAGACCGTGAAAACCTCTCACGGAATTCACGGAAAGGGTGACAAAACGGGAACAAACAGCAGCTTTTTAACACGGTTCATTTCCGAACACACCAAAGTGATAACTACGTTGTGAAGGTCACGGGTTCATTCATCACATTGGTTTTGGCATGCGATCTCTGGCGAGTGCTTTGTGCCTTTCATCATGATTAAAAGCTTGCCCTAAGACTTAGTGAATCATCAGGCAATACGCTGGCGTAGATTATTCACGCGAGGCTAGTCATGATTACACCGGAGGACACTTGGCTATCTGGTTGCAGAGCTAGCGGCGGAAGGGAGCATGATCATTTTTCGAGCAGAACGGCCGGACGTCCTTGAATTGATGCAATGCAGTTATTTGTGAACTAATGTAACCAACACGCAGTGTCCAATATCATGAGCGCAGTGGCATGTTTGCCGGTCTCAGGGGAACATACTACACCTTCCACTGTACGCACTGGTATACCAATAGGTTCACACTGTCCTTGTCGCCATGCCCTTGAGCAGCGTCTGGTAGTGACGCGAGTAATCACTCAACGCGCGCCTGGTTGGCCGGTTCGATACCCTTCGTTTGGGTAGGTGTCAATTTTACCCACCTTGAGATCTGAGAACTAAGAGAGCTAGAAAAACCAATTCACAGAGTGCGTTGGCCTGTGCGTGGACGCACTCTGGTCAGTTTGAGGGTTCGAGGGCACGGCGTCTGGGTTAAGTAAGGTCAAACAAGATCAAACTTCAGATTAGTCTCTAAAGTGCCCCCAGAACCTAGATACCTGTTCTAAGCAAAAGCTCACATGCTCGTTGAAAGTCATTGACCATGTTTGTCCTTCCGAAGGTCATGGTGACCAAAATCATGCAAGACTACTTTGAGTTTTGCTCTTAAATAAGCGACAACTACTACGCTAGGCACGATGTTCCTAAAAACAAAGTGTTGACCTGGGTCATTTTTAGTCAGTGATCTATTCTGACCCTTAAAAAATCTATGGAATATCTGCAATGCGGTTACTGTCATCACTAAATTCGAAATGAGTAGCAGAAACTGCCACATACAGCAAGCCCTAAAGTAATAAAACAGGTTTGATGTGACCTTGATGTGACCTTTGTATTTTGTTCACTCAGTTGTTGTGCTGCCTGAGAAATTACCTCAGAGCATGATCTAACACTCCGTCTAATTTGGCTTCGTCTATGTATCGTCAAGGGCTTCGTCTAACACTCCGTTGTTGCATCAGATTGAACGAACTGACTTCGCTGAATCTGTGGCCTGACTTTGACCTGCCGCAGGTCAGCGACCTTGCAAAGTACATATAAATTATTGTTACCAAACGATCCGTCATTTAGTTGTCAACAACTAAGAAAAAATTGGCGTGGCTATGCCGCGCCGTTCGGAAGTCATTCAGGTAAAACCTTTTGTGGGGGTCAGTTTGACCCCCACTCCAGCGCGTGTCAAATTACTGTATGTACATGGTGTGTTCAAGGAAAAATTGTAGATCATCATTAAGTTATCAATAGTAATCAATAGCATGTAAATTTGCGGAAGAACGGGCGATCGATATAACAGAATGGCTGCGTATCAGTGCCCTGTGACATGAAGGGCGGCACATGCAAAAAAGCGCGCGCTTGCCACAGTGGTTAAATTGCGTGTCTCGGATCGCGGAAAACGACCACTGTGTTATCAAACTACGATTCGGGGGACAGCCTGATATGAAAACGCCCTTCTGATTCGGAAAACGTGCAAAAGGTTGCATTGAAGGACAAAATTGGAGTGGGCAAAATCCTAGTTGGGAAAAACTGGGGGCGCGTTCCCCCCCCCCCCCCCCCGCCTCCCACCACCAGTGATTACGCTCAAGCGGTCTAGATTGTTTTCCGCCGGTACGTAGTGCCACATTCTTATCAAAAATGGTCATTCAACTGTCGAGCACAATAACTTGATCCGATATTTTCGCAGAAATCCTCAGGTGGTACTTACGTGGTGTGATGCCAAGAATGGCACAACTGTCCAGCCCATCCGTATTTCAACATGGACATGTGGCTGTTTTTTGTAAGGTAGCGCGTATATTTGCTTATGATATGTAAAGCCTGCGACAGCCTGCAGTTAAACGCTCGAATGCCTGCTGGTTGGTGATGACGTCATTACTCGCCTGCCCTGGCGTCGACGTCAGGGTCAGGTAAGGTCACGGCCGGTCAAGCTCTGCACCCGGTTGGGATCATTCTGGGCGACTTAATTTCAGCTCCCCCCCCCCCCCCCCTGATCCACCATGACCCACCCAAATTAGCCAAAGGCTCTCTCAACTCTGTCAACGGTCGCTCTCGACAGTAGGTAGTGGTTATGAGGCTTGCCGATAGGTGGCAGAAACTTCCGAGTTCAGAGTCTTCATGTCTTCATAAAACGACATTTTAGTGCAAAAATAGGTTAAATTTACAGCACTCGCATTACTCGTGACCATAAGCACAGCCTTCAATTTCAAGTAGTGTCAACATAGACAATGTTTGCTCCGTAATGTCGGTCAACCAGTTCCTCCCGACACATTGTAGATCGATAACGCAAGATAAGAACTCTGCGCTCGTAATGACAAAAAAAGCAGGAGATGGAGATCCTACTTGCTTACATCAAGTGCAGAAGGCTGGACTTCAGTGGTGCTGTTCAGTGGTGCCGTTGCCAATGGACCGGTCACAGCGTGATGCAGTCCCAAAGGACCGGTCACGGCGTGATGCAGTCCCAAAGGACCAGTCACAGCGTGACGCAGTACCGAAGGACCGGTCACAGCGTGATGCAGTCCCAAAGGACCGGTCACAATGTGATGCAGTACCGAAGGACCGGTCACAATGTGATGCAGTCCCAATGGACCGGTCACAGCGTAACGCAGCCGCCTGATTTCCGAACGAGTTTCAGCTGTCCTTCCGAGCTTCTTAACGTGAACCCAAGAACCCAGCTTGTTGTATCAACAGCGCGCGTTTTCGTAAATGCGCTTGGTAAAGCCAGGTCCTGGTCCGACCCCTGCCGAGGACCAATAACGTCCTGGGCATCCGGTCAGGTGACGGTCGGCCGGGGGTATCGGGCCAAGGCAGCTGAGTGCACTGGGGGCCTGATGCCTTCAGGCGCCCGAAATAGGTCCGAGGATACATTGCACAGTCATTACGCTCTACCCACAGAGAAAGGTAGCCTGGACACATTAAACGCCGTGCGAACATAAGACGCCTTTTACCACGGCTGTTTATTATCAAATATTACCAATTCACATAATGTAATATAGTCATGTCCACAGCACCTCGAACCTGCGAAAATCATGACCTGAACAAAACTGTGCACAAACATCGAAAGCGAATAACCTAATTACTGCGACTCTCGCGCCTTCAAGACGTTAAACCCGAACCTTTCAAGGAGACCTGTTCCCTAAATTTGCACGCAGACTCGCCACGCCGGCTCACCGCACCGAGAAAAAGGCTCTCTCGCCTGCACACATACACATACTGCCGTCCGGGGTGCAACAACACGGCGGCGGCGGACAACCCACGGCCGAGCAGCCCGCGGTGAAGATCAAGACAGCCCTGCAGTCGACAGGTTGGCGCCGGTCCGCGCCCGGCCACCCCGAGTCTCTGGCGTCATCGGCGCACCCTGCGCCGCGTCGCGCCGAAGAGCGCGCGCGAGCCGGCGCCGCCGGAGCCGACGCACGTGGCGCGAGAGGCCGCGACGCGAGGCGACAGGCGACGCGGCCGGCCCGACCGGCCAACTGAAAGATCCGTACTCACTCGCGGCGCGGCCCCGCCCTGTTCGTCTTCGCTTCACTGGCAAGATGCGCGCGCGGACCGTTCGACGCGAGCCGAGGGCGGCCGGCCATCGGCGCTCAAGTTCCCTTGCGCCTCCGACTCGGACAGTGGAGTCGCTGGAATGCTCTCCCACTGAGGCCGAGTGGCTCGCCCAACAAGCTATGTATGTACATGGTATCACCAGGGCACGTGTCGCGGTGTGAAAATTTAAAAGTCCCGTACGGCGCTAGCCACAAAAATGTCCGTCGTGTGGCGCCACCGGCGCCGACGGGCCACTCCTCGGTTCCGTCCTGTTTGATCGGCTGCGCGCCGCGGAAGGAGCGGTAGCGTTATTCCTCCGTCTTGGCCGGCTCCTCGGCGGCCTTCTCGGCCTCCTGCGGGGCCTCGGGGGCGGCTGGCGACTGCGCAACAAAGGGGGAACGGCGTCACTGGTGCACATTCAGGGACACCAGAACGCGGCCGGGCGACGACGGCTGGCCGTGACGACAAATTGAAAGCAACCCACTTAATGCCCTACGGTCCCTTCACGAAGCTTTACGATGTCCATTCAGCAAAAGTGTCACGACCGAACAAAAAGGGCTGGGTGGCAGACGGACAGAACAACAGCTCTACGGTACGTCTCGACGCGAACATAGTATTGTGCAGTACTGCACGAGGCCGGTCGGACTGAAACCCCAGCTGCGCCCGCAGATGCATGACCGGTGACAACAATAACGCACGTACCTCAGCGGGTTTTTCGCTGTCGGCGGCAGGCGCCGGAACCTCGGGTTCGGCGGGCGTCTCAGACACGGCCGGAGCCACTTCCTTCTTCTCCTCCTCGACATCCGGCACGGCGGGGGCCGCCGGAGGTGCTGGCTCCTCTTTCTTTTCCTCCACCTCCGGAGCAGCCGGAGCCTCAGGGGGAGCAGGGGTCTCAGCATCGGCAGGAGCCTCAGGTGCGGCAGGAGCGGACGGCTCCTCCTCCTTCTTTTCCTCCGGAGCAGCAGGGGCCGCCGCCTCTTCTTTCTTGGGTTCTTCTTTCACAGCAGCACCCTCCTGCGTGAATGCAAATGGTGGGTGAAACGTCGTCGCGACTGCCGAGGCCGGGCTCGAATGACTGTCTTGAATGTTGGCACGAGAAAAACTTGGCAAAATATTTTCGCAACCGAACGAAAAAGCGAAAATGTTCGCTACTTATTTACTATGTAAAGTTACTTGAATTCATTCGCAGGAAGATAGCTGGAGTGCAGCATCACACCGTGAATGCAGCATGGTAAGGCAATATGGTTAAGGCAACTCAGATTGGAGAACGACAAAACACAAAGTTCTGCAGATCAACGCAGGCAGGGAATACGTGGGGACATCAGTGCGGTTAAGTGAGGATCAGGAATAACAATGCGAGGGGAACACCCAACGAACGTTATTCACACAGCCAAGAAGTGCGGTCAATAAACATAACATACAGCGCACACAACAAAACGAGACTGCATGGTAATAAGGTTACATAGCAACAAGGACGTCATCAGTTAGATTCTGCCGAAGGAGTTACTGCCGGCCACAGGCGGCTGTTACGGAGTATTCTACGTCACGTCACGAACGGTCAGCATGCTGTTACTGCGGTACATCTTGTACCTGCGCAGCATCTGAAGCTTCAGCGGACGCGGCGACGATGATGCCGGCCTGAGATTCAGTCAGGGCGGCGGCAGCTTCAGGCTGAAATTCAGTCGGGGCAGGCGCAGCTTCAGGCTGAAGATTCAGTCGGGGCAGGCGCGGCTTCGGTTTGGCTTCCGCTGGTGGAGCGGGCGCTGCTTCAACTGGCGCAGGCGCAATTTCAGGCTGCGCTTCTGATGGCGTCTGCCGGAGACGCTTCTACTGGAGAAGACGCAACTCAGGCTTAATTTCTGCGACTCCGCTGGGGCAGGCGCAGCCTGGGATGAGTTTCTGCTGGAGGGGCGGGGGCTGCCTCTACCGGGGCAGGCAGCTACCCTCAGGCTGAACTTCCGCTTGTGTTGTTACGGGACGTAGGCCTCGACCCGGAGCAAGGCGCCCACGTCAGGGCTGAACTCTCCGCTAGGTGTTTACGGGAGCAGCCTCGACCTGGGCAGGCGCCACACTTCGTGGGCTGAATCCTCTGCCGGTTTGTTACGGGAGCAGCCTCTACCGGAGCAGGCGCCACTTCGGGCTGAACTTCTGCCGGTGTTATGGCAGCCTCTACC